AAAACACATATGCTAGTAGGCACATCAAGAAACTGAACAGCTTCCACATGAGATGTCAGTGTAAGATCCTGAAAATGAAGTGGGAAGACAGAATACTAAACACATAAGTACTGGAGTGCAAAGGACTGACAGACTTAGAAACCACTATCAAGAAGAGGAGGTTGTGACGGATCAGCCATGTCAGATGAATGAGAGCAGACCATATCCCCAAGAATATTTCGTATAGTGAGATTCAAGACAGCACTGGAAAGCAGGGTCACCCTCTATGGCAGTGCCATGATATGTGCAAAAATTAAATGAAGCCGTTCAACTTCAATGTAGAAAACGAGGAGGAGCACATAGAATGCCATCCTAACTAGAGGGAGCATTTGACACTGGGTGCAAGTCAACATGAAGAGGCTTTAATCTAGAGGATGGAAGCAAAGCAAGAAAGAAGAAAGCAGCATGCTGTAAACTTGGATTACAGCTTAGAAAAGATATGGATCTTTGATACTTGGAACAAGCTGTGTTGCTCTCGGATTGGGCTTGTCAGCCACAAACAGATTCATCAGGCATCTGACTAGACCTTCTTATGTATACACCATGATCCAGAGGATCGACAGTTGCCTAATACTGTGACCTAGAATAAATCACTTCATCTCCCTCTTCCCCGTCTCCTTCTTAGCTGTTTTGTCTTGTTTGTCTAGAATCGATTAGAAGATTTTGGCTGCAGTGACTCTCTTAATACGTGTATGGACAGTTGTAGTAACAGATGGGCCTGATCTCATTTGAAACTTCTAGACATTATTATAATACTACTGCTACAAAGTATGCTTTGTTTGAAGGGCTGTAATGCTGTGGCCCACTACAGTTTAGATGTGTTGTGTCAGTGTCAGGGGTTTTTTAACAGCATAACAGAAATATGAAGCATTGTGTACTTTAAACAATAGGGCACAGCTCTGTTTAGCTGATTTAATGTATTATAGAAAGAAAACAAGAAATGTAATGATTTCACCATAGCTATACACATAATTAAGTACAAACTGCTTTTAAAAGGTTATGCAGTGTAATATTTGTGCTGTACAGACTCATAAATCAAAATCTTTCACACAACAAATGCTAAACTAAGTCTTTTAATGTGGTTTTTCAGTTTTCAAGTTGAAAATAAATGGATGTATAATGAAATGAGCATTAGAAGAATAGATGAAACTGGGTTGGTATGTTTAACAACACAGTCAGACAATTAAATGTATTTCGCTGAACATCAGAAACCTGCTTTTCTATGTGCTTTAAAAATGAGTAGAGAACTAAGGTTCTGTGACTCGCATAGGCTCATCCTTCCACTGGGTAGAGAGGTTATGAATCTACAGGTAAGTTATGAATCTACAGTCAAGTTCCTCAGATCACTTAATGATGAGGACAAAGTAATGAAGTTTTATAACTCCGATGTAATGCTCAGCTAAGTCTAAACTGCATAGATGGAACTGATAAGCAATAAACATTCACTTTTGAGTTTAGAAATGCAGCCACAGGCCTGCAGTGGCTCAGGCCAGGGGGCACTAGAGCATGCCTCCCTGCTTGACTGGAGCGGACAGTTTGGGCCAAAGCTAGCCCATCCACCCTGTGTGTGTGGGAGGAGGGGGTGTGGTTTCCAGGGGGGTGCAAATCATCCTGGGATGCTGGTGAGTTAACTTGAATCTGGAGGGGATCTGGGACAGAAGTTCAAGAAACCGATTTAAACATAATCAGTTAAGTCTGATACTATGCTACAATGAAAAATAAAATAGTGAAATTAGTGAACTCTAGCTTCAGCAGAGCCAAACTGACTGTAAAAGCTGTCAGTTGGTCAGTCGGTCATGGGCTTCTTAGTAAGGAAAGGCTTTCTTAACACTCTTGAAGTCGACTGGAGTTAGAAGTATTTGGCTTTTGAGCTAAATGAGTCCCTTTGTCTCTGAAAGCATAGATATAGTACTATGTCTTGAACTATTTTATTTGTTTCACCTGCATAACTTTCAGTAGCTCCTGGTCGGCCTTGACACTCTGGTTTAATATTGTAAAAGTAACGCACGATTTGATATTAAAGGCACCATCTAAATGTAAGAAATAAGTTTACTAATTCTTAAGACCCAGTGATTTGGTTACTCTTTGCCTTTGTTACCTAACAAACCATGCACGAGTTATCGGAACCCTAGTATATTGTCTTCTCAGAAACCGCCAGGCAATGTCAACCTGATAGGAAAATAGGCATTCACATATATATTTTAATTAAGTGTTGAGAGGTTCACCCAGTAGGGCTGGGGCCCATAACTTTGTGGGGTCCAGTGTGAATGTGCTGTTGGAAAAGGTGGCTCAGGATGTGGCTATCTACAATTCCCAATGGATCACTCTCTTGCCTGCCACAACTTGATGGAATACGTAATTGTTGGGAGCCAGTGTGCTGATAGCCTCCATTCTTGAGTCCCATGTAGGATCTTCAGGGGGCTCCTCCTTTTTCTTACACCCCCGCCTATGCCACATCAAAACCACACAGTTGATAAATGACCTGGGCTGATAGAGTGGTGACTGGATTGAGTTCACCTATGCCCAGCAGGTCAAGGTTGTCAATTCCAAGTTCAGCCAACCATGACTTGGGTCTGGCTGGAGATATCCACCCTGGCACAGTCTCTCCCTTGCCAGCCATTGACGGTTGATGATAGGTAGGTGTTGAATCGAGGCTCAGCAGGTTTTAATCACAGGAAAAAAACCCCCCAAAACAGTCCCAACTAAGATCCTACTTAGAACAACACATGTGTGGGCTCTCTGGCCCCTTTTTAATGAGCCCCCTTGGGGTGTGGGGTCCACCCCTCAGTCCAGGGTAATCACCCTCAGGCCTCCCCCACTGGTACAAAAGAAGTAAAGAAAAAAGAAAGACAACACATGTAGCGGGGCTAGCCCCTGCCCCCACTGGGCTCTGGTGCCATGCTTGAGTTCCTTCCAGCCCCAATTTTTCCCATGCTGAGACTTGCTTACCAGGATGTGGAGTCCCCCCTTCTCCTACAGAGACATGGGGCAAAAGGAGGAAAAAGGAAACTCTCCCTGCCTCCACCCCCACTGGAACCAGATATTTCACCAACTGCTTACTCACCAGTTGGCTGCTCTCTCAGCTGAGTGGCCCCAATCCTTACTGTGTTTGGGCCACTGTGTCCCTTTCCACCAGGGTCTGCAGTCCTCAGTCCCTTCAGGACTGACTCTGTTGCCTTCACTGGTGGAGTGTGATGATCCTCTGATTGCCTCTCTGCTTCAGGTGCTCCTCCTTGCCCATGGGAGAACTGCTGCTTCCGGTTCCAGCAGAGCCCAGAAATGCTTCACTTCCTGGTCCTCTAGCATTCCCCACCAGCTGCCCCTCTACAGGCTCTGAAGTCCCTGGCCATGGGTTCTTTCCTCCCATCTAGAGGGAACACCGGCTTTGTAAGTTCCGTGGCATTGTTGCAGCTGGACCCAGGGCCTCTGCGCTTCCTGATGCGAGTCTTCCTTCCCTTGCAGCCCCATTCTCCACCCATGGTTCTACCTTTGCTCCCTCACATTAACATTGTAAAATTCATGTAACTTTGGACCAGTATAGGAGGAGTTTAGCCTGAATTATATTTATTGGTGCCTCACACACAAAACTGGGGAAAATGCTACTTTTTAATATAGATTTCAGGTTTTCATTGTTTTGCCCAAGATTTCATGATCTGATTCAATAAGAAAGATGAAATAAAAATGTGAAGACTAAATAGGAGTGTTATCCTCTAGGTTTCAATCTATACAGCAATAAAAGCAACTCAATTTATCACTGCTACACAAGAAACATTTTTCCTAAAAAATTACATCACTCCAAGAGGGAAAACCTTGGCCATAAAAACTATTGAGACATTTACATTAACTACAGGCTGTGAGTTGCAATCAGTCATGGGCTGAATACATTGGAGTCAATGCTATGAATGTTTATTTGAAGCTGAGTCACAAATCTGCTAAATAAGCACTTTATTTGACTGAATTCTGACTTTAGATTATATAGACAGTAAAACCTCCAAATCCTAAAATCTGGTGGCTTGGCCCACTGACCTGTTCAGTGATGTTAAATCATCCCATTTTTATTTTGAAAGAAGAAAAATGGTAGGGAGAAAATCTGATTTTTCTGTGCATAACTTAAATTGACACTCACCTCATGCTAGCATCACTGGATGCTATAGATTTGGAGCCGGGATGTAAAATAAAGATTTCTGAGCTAGAGACTGCTATCCATCTAGAAAAGTGACAATATTGCTTCATTGATTAAATCTGATTTAGTCACTTTAAAGGATCCGAAGATAGAAAATGTTGCATCTTTAAGAGACTTTTGGGAATATCTTGGGAACCTTAGAGTTGTATGAGGCTCACTAGCTAAAACAATATGCCTGTAATATTATGATAGGTCTTAAACAGCCAAGTTTTGTTTACAGAAATTGTAATGTTCAGTATTTTCTTATGTCCAGTATAGGAACATTATGTAGGTGTGGCTTGATGCAGGCAGCACAAAAGTATCTGAATTAAAACTAATGTTAACTAATGCAAATCCCATCACCAACAAACAATTCATAACTGCATCAGTCAAGAAGCTATGATAGCATCCTTAATGGTAAGTGCCATAATGATAATTTCTATAGTAAATGCAAGTATGGAGAAAGCAATTATTGTATTAACTTGAATATGAGACAAAGTTTTTAACTCCCCCCTCCCCCCCCCCGCATCATCTGGGGTAGAGTGGGGAAGGCCTACATCCTACTTTTGCATTTTCGCAGAGCACTGGGGTTCCCTGCTCCTAAAGAGGAGAAACTGCTAGGGAAATAGCCCTAGCAGTGAATAAGGAGCTCAGCTGTTGGTTGCCAGGGCAACTGGAGTCAGCAAGCGACCCACACCTGCCAGCGGTCAGCTGACTGGAAAGGGCAGGGCCTGGCCCTTATAAACTCTAGAAGCTGAGGCCAGAGGCAGTTCCCTGCCAGCAGCTAGAGAGGAAGGAGCTCCCTGAACAAAGATGTGAGAAGAAGCCTGACCGCAGGTACAGCTCAAGCCGGGTAAAGGATGGCAGCTCTAGGATGTTTGAGCAACGTGGGTTTAGCCGGGCGGCTTTAAGTTATGTTATAGCCTAGGGGCTTGTGTTTTGTTTTGTTGTTACATCGGTGGTTTGGGTGAGGCTATTAGGGGTTGGAGGAGGCCTCATAGGGGACTCACGGTAGTGTGAGGACCCCAGCCCCAGAGAGGGGCAGCTGAGAAGCCCCAGAGAAGGCGGCATTATGGAGAAGCCCCAGGGCAGGCGTGGCGAGCCCCAGAGAAGGGGACGGCTTACTGGCGAGCCCCAGAGAGAGGGCGCGGAAGGAGACAGAGAGAGACCGAACAACATCTATTCCAGCTGCGAGGCTTGGGGCATGGTATAAGGGGTGGTTGGAGCCACGCGTAGCCCATAAGGCTAGGGTGCCCCGAAGCACCCGTTTGCAGGACAAGACCCATAAGGGGTCTGGGAGTCTACAGGGCCAGAGGTTACAGCAGACTGTGTCCAAGAAGACATAAGGCAGCCTACCTAATATACTGGAACATCAAGACATGGTGGGCAAGAATTTGAGGGTGCCCTTGGGTCAACTTGGCACGGGAAGGGGGCCTTGAGGAGATCACGGCCCTCCTGCAGGACCCTGCCGTGACATGCATAAAGGAAACTTCATTAATTACACTGTGTAGTTTAAACTTCTGCCAAAATGGAATGTGTTCAGTAACGGAAACCAACTACGAAGTTTATTTAAATTCAGCCAACACTAAGCATGACTATAAAACACATGGTCCATATGGGGCAAACATGCTGATGGTAACTATTTTATTTTCTTTTGTGTGGTCCTTAAGAAAAAAATGGTGGTGGGGAGGGGGTATACCATACAGGGAACTGGCACTGGGCCTGGGGGTACTGCAATACATGGCCAACACCAGAAGGGCCAGAGCCAGCTTTGACACCCTCCTCTTGGTGCCAAAAATTCTACATTTGATCTTACCAAAAAGGCTGAGATGCTGAAAGGAACCTACCACACGGATAGGTCAGTGCAGCCCATCTGAATAATATATATGGTAGTGCCCATTGAGTGCAGTTCCCCTTCAGGACTACTAATACTTTTCCAAGTCATGGTGAGCTCCTGCATTGCACACATTTCAAATTCCTCTTCACTCCTACAGCTGAGCTGTGCCTCTCTCTCCCATTTTCAATAATTCCTGTTTGTTCACCAGCCTCAATTATTTGGCAAACATCCTCAAAGGATGTTTGGAAATGAGTAGTTCCATGGAAGGCGGGATAGTTAGGCACCTGGATCCTAGGCTGGAAGGCACATGCCAGGGTGTTTATCTCATGGGTCATCCTCATATGAACTTGTGTAATGTCCCATTGCCTCTATCAGATGTCTCACAGGACAACAAGGAGGACATGCTCATTCCCATGGGTCTGTCAGCTTGTGCATGAGAGGTAGGAATCCATGGCAAGGTGGGAGCACAGAAATTGACACACTTGCAACTAACAAGAGAGGGGCCTCGGAGCAGGAAGGGAGGGGAAGGTTACTGTGGCAGGAAGTTTCCTGATGAGGCATGGTTCCCAGTGGTGGTCAGCTGCTCAGGGCTTCCCTGTGCATTCTTGGCAATCTCTGGCAGCTATGAGTGACCATAGGATGTTTGGGGATGTATGCAGAGGCCCCCTATCTGCAGACCAGCCCCAGTGCAGGCTGCCTGTGGGCCTCCTCTCCCAAACACTGAATGCTTGTAGGGTGCCCTATCAATAGATACTTAAGCCACTCAAACTAAACAATGCAACTCAGACAAATTTCTATCTTAATGTATGGGTACAATGAGTGATAACACTACAGTTACTAAGGAATGGCTTTGATGTTTGTTCTTTATAAAATAACCCACATGATCATAGTCAGCTTGATGGAAGTTCACTGTCAGGGCGGCTAGGATCTGGAACCAACTTCTAAGAGAAGTGGTGCTGGATCCTACCTTGGGGGTCTTTAAGAGGAGGCTAGATGAACATCTGGCCAGGGCCGTTTGACCCCAGTACTCTTTCCTGCCATGGCAGGGGGTCGGACGTGATGATCTACTCAGGTTCCTTCCGACCCTACAAACTATGGAACTATGGAAAACACCATGAACTATACTGCTGCAAAGCCAGAATATCAAAAATTGTAGAAGATATTGAAGATTGCAGTACATGATATTTCACAGTACATCTGTAGTTACTTTGTGAAACACTAATTTGAATTGTGTTTACTTGTATTTTGGTATCAGTCCATCTCTGCACCTTTATTGCAAAAATTTTAGATTGTTTCTCAGTCTGTATTACCTGAGAAAACTTTGGTGTCTGTGTTACCTATGTGTCATTCATTGATTTCCAAATATAATATACCATATGCTATCCCTGAAATATTACGTCAGTTTGTATTGGCTCCTTTTACATCTGTGGCATCTTTTGGTATCACATTATAACTAGAGATGTGGATGAGCATGTTATGTTCCAGAGCTTTGAATAAAATTTTAATATCTGGAATGTTTGCTTAATCAGATTTTAAGAAACCAACTTCTTGCAATTTACAACTGATCATGAAAGAGGAGGAATATCATTCCCTATGCCTGATTAAACTATAAATGTTTATTTATTCTATATTCAACACCTGGAAGATGCTTTTGTAAAGCTCTTAGCTGAGTCTGAACAAAGTGACAGAGGACTGTTTGAAATTCTGTCTTCATAACTGTGAAACCTCATAGATATCAAATTTGACTTAAAAATTCCAGTCATTTTAAGTGCAATTTAGTTTATTGATGAAACTTAACATCTACTTGAAATAATTTATACACGAAAAAGATATGTATCTTAAGGGACACACTGATTTTTCTTAACTATGTTCTCAAGTTTCTCTAGTAGCAACAGTCTGCCACCTCCATGCACTGCAACACTGGGAAGGAAAAATAATTTTTGTTATAGGCAGATTACTTTCAGCAGATCGACACAGCTGGAATCTGATGTAATCTTTTTATTGAACTGGGTAGTGTGTGTGGCAACTAGGTGGCTGAGTAATTGACTTTATTCAGTCTGTACAACTGCAATACATTGAAACTCTCTGCTTGTCTAGCCTGTCAGTAATATTATCACATCTCAGAAATTTTTATATTTACTGCTTCACATTTCAAAAATCTACTGCAGGTCTGTTTTCTTTACAAAAACTTCAGTTTTGCCTTCTCAGCTACCATTCACTAATTTACTATTTATATGTGCAATTAAAAGGCAAAAGGAAACACTTCTGAACTTAAAATGATAAGCATTTCCACTTAATGTTCCTTATTTCTAACATATTGCCGTATAGCTGTTAAAATGTTCCTACGCACATAATGAAACCTGATCTGAACTTCCTAAGCCATTTTACACAACTAGAATCCATTAATGCTTACATTGTACTCATATGTTTGATATTTTTGCTAATATTGGGAAGAAGAATACTTAGACTGTGGTATTTGGCTTTTCTCCCTGTGGACCTGAGATAAAGGTTCTGATCTTTCCTTTTAAAGCCTTGTCCTTTCCCATCTTCATGTGGCATACTGATTGGAATAAGGATAATAAATCTTAGGGGAAAAAAAAGACCTGAGTCCTCCTTCCAACATATTAAAAATTCCAACCATAGTATTTCACAAATGAGCTGAAAACTGAAGGTTAGGTTTTAACAAGGAACTCTTGAGAGAAACAACGCTACATCATTTTAAGGAAATTTTGCTAAAATATTGTTAGACTTAAAAGCAAAAGATAGAACTATTGTCATATTGTACTCAAATGACCAACAAACATATTAGCAATGTAGATTTTTCTCAACAGTCTGCATTTATTTAGTAGATCATATTAATGTTCTCCTTATGCAAATACTTGTGCTTAATTTTAATCATGTGAGTAGTCGCTTTGGATTATAGTTATATAATTCAAAATATTTCCCAGAGCTATATTTTGTATTAAAGTGGATGGTCCTTTCTTCCACTTAAGATGTCTGGAAAAATAAAACTGTGCTAGCAGAAAGCCTGTCAGGAAAGCAAACAGCTGTTTGATGCTTTAGCTGAAGCTCTACAAGCACCAATTTTAAAATTGATCCATAAAATATAATGCTCTACCTTTACATCCAAATTATTACTTTCTATTTAGTTGACTCGGTGAAGAAAAGTGCTTTGAGTCAGTAGTCCCTGGGGACAAGATTGCTTTTTTATTGTTATATTTATATTTAGATTTTTGCTAAGAAAGGTCAGTGTTCTGGATTTTGGACACATGCATTTTTCCCTGAATAGTTTAGAGACTGAGAAATTCAGCAATGGCTCTAATGACTTCCTAACACCATGTGTATGACGGATATAAGAAATTAGCAACCAATGAAAGTTTTCTGCACTTGCCATCATCTGTTTTAACAGCAGTTTTCTCAAGCTTAGTTGCTGAAATGCCATCCACTGCAGGAAACATGAACTAGAATTATTCCTGATAGTAACCTAGATGAAGCCTTTAATAATGAAGCTTGATTTAGTTTAGTTATTGGATCCTACATCTGCTGTGGTAAAACTTTTTTAAGACTATGTAAGAGTTTTAAATGTGTGTACCTGGCTTCAAAAATTAATTTGAGTTTATGAAAGATTCTGACTGGATGGACAAGAGGGAAAAAGTCAAACTCTGCAGGTTTGCCCCAGAACATATTCAGATCAGGTTCATTGTCAAAGCTACAACTGAGTGTGATTTGTTTATTTGCAGGTGCCGGGGGGGGGGGTGCCAAAAAAGTGATCTTTACCATGAAAAGGTTGGAGATCACTGAGTTATGCAGTCCCTCTGTCCCCAATCCAGCCCTGGGCAGCTGCAAAGCACTTCCGTTTTCAGTCTCTCAAGTTCCTTAAAACTCCCGGGCTGACTTTTATCAGATTCCAAACCTTCCTCCAGTTAATTAACAACCAGGTTCTTCAGCATGCTCTCCCATTGTCATGTTTATCTCATTCTTTTGGATACCTCCTGGATGTTAGGCATCTCATCTTTGTTGATATGTGAACAAAGCTATTCAAGTCTCTGTTGATGATGAATCTCCATCTTGTTGTATCCCAGGCCAATGAGGTAAAACTAAGTCTCACAACATTATAGCAGTATAAATACAGCTAAAATATGAATATGACAGTAAAAACCCATGGTCCATCACAGCCTAATGGTGCAGAAAGGACTTTTGTCAGATCTCCATATGGATGATAAGAATGCCTCAAGCTTTTTTGGCAGGTTTGAATGTGAATCCCAACTTTATTGCCCAGACTCCCCTCTAATCCTTATTTCAGTCTTGTATGACAAGTTCTTTAAGTATTTGAGAGTTGTGTGTTGGAAAGGTAACAGGTATAACTCCCACAGGTGAAAATAGGGGGAAAATCTCTTGATTTTTCTATACATGCTTTGTCTAGGAATAAATAAAGTTGTTGGTTGTTACTTTTCTTGTGAGGCAGAAGGGAGGGCAAGATGGCATCTTATGGACGAACTCATGCAGAAACTCATAAGCTTTTTAAGCAACCACCTGTGTGAGGTTGTTGGTTAACTTAATGAAAGGTGGGGTTAAGGGAAGCCTTCCCAGCCTAGATCATATATATCACAATCACTTGAGGGGATGTCTAAGTGGTGCTCACAACTCTCTCCTGCCATGTCTTGATGTTAGAAGAAGACCTATATCAGGATGTGTTGTATCTAAGCACCACTAGGTACCGAGATCTAGGGTCGGTTTCTCCTGAGGCTCCAACCTCCCATACAACCCAGTTTAGTGCTACTCAGAAATTCAACTGGCTTTCATTAATGGAAACTCACAATAGTTGTTCTTTCTAGTAATTCTCTTTTATTTATTAATTTTCTTTTCTTTGTGTTTTAGATTCTCTCATGTATCATCGATACAACAGCAGACTTCAATATCCTCACACTGCCAGACTGCCTCATCTGGCTCAGGTGAGCCACCTTTTCAGTCTCTCTAGGGTTAACCCTTTCTTTCTTGAAATCAGAAAGTAAAGGAGTTCAGTCCAAACAAATGAAATAAGGCCCTTATGGGTTGTAGTCTCTAAAATTCCATTTTTCTTCATGCAATGTAAGTCCAATAAAGGGTGTCCTGTTCCTTTAACCCAGCAAACTGTTGGATATTCTACAAGATTACCAAACTGCATGGACACAGGCTTAGTATGTCCAAAAACAAGAGAAAGTAAAAGGAAAAGTTTTATTTGTGTCCATAGGAGCTCAGCTGCTTTCTCCTGGCTAGCCCTTTCTCTCCAGTGCGTAGTTTCATTGTTAGTACTGCGCTCCTGGCAGTGCTGCTCCAGCCAGTCACTCCTGGCTTAGTGTAGCTCCTCAGAGCTCCTTTGCCAGCTGGCTGCTGGCTTGCCACCACTGACCATCCACCCCTCCTCCTGGGATCCAGGATGCATGGCCTCCATTCCCTTTTCATCCGGGTCTGTCTCTTTCTCCCTTTCCTTTTGGGGCCACTCTAGCTTTATGGAGCAGCTGCTCTGGAACCGCAGCTCCTGGGGAATTCTTTTTTCCTTTGCTGGCTCCTGCTGACACTCAGTAAGTATCGCTATAGTCTCCTCTTCTCTACAACCTACTCCATCAAATTCTCTGAATGGACTTGCAAAGAGAGGGGTACTAAACAGAAAAGAATAAAATGATTTAAATATAAAGGATAGGAAAAGAGGGTGGAACAGATATGGGGAGGGGGGACTGCTGAGAGATGCAAAGGTGAGTTGAAGAGGTCAAAGGAATTAACCAAAGCAGTTAACGCACTCAAGGACATAAGGATTATAAAAGCCAGTCCAGGTAATGGGGTAAGAATCCAGAATCTCTGCTGAGACCGTACTTAATAAAATCCAGTCTGGATGATTTCTTGTTCCACAATTTCACATTCAAGTTGGTTCTGAAAGTTTTGTTGTTTAAAACAGTTACTTTGAGGCCAGTGATGAACATTCAGAGAGGCTGAAGTGTTCTTCCCTGGGCTTTTGTATCTTTCTGGAATTGAGGAAAATTCAGTGTTAGTTCATTCTTTCATGTAGGGATCTGTCCATTGTAGACAGGAGAGAGGACTGGAAGCAAGTGATGGCATATATTATGTTAGTAAAGGAGGAGGTGAATGAACCCCAGAGGGTTATAATCAGTGTTGTTTGGTGATGTGGTCAGTGTTGAGGGGGTACATCTGGCATCTGAGTTTGTTGCAAGGATTTGTGCTTTGAAAACAGAAGTTGGGTAATCTGTTGTTGGAGAGATGCCATTTGATGTGGGGACACTGTAAGCCAGTACAGGTTTGTCTCCCATGGCTACCTTGAAATGGTTGTCATTTTCCAGAAGGAGCTAGAGGTCATTTATTATGTGTCTGGAGTATGCAAGTTAGGGGCTGTAGGTGACAACCAGAGAGATTCTGTTGGGGTCAGAGTGGGGTATGAGGATGGCTTTTTTTTTTTTTTTTTTTTTTTGAGTAGCTATGGTTCTGGGATTGTATTCTAAATATAGAAAACCTTGCTCCAGGTCCCTCAGGGGTGCATCTCCGTTGGTGGGATAAGAGCAGATACAGTTGTAACTGCTTGCCACTAGATCAGTTGCCTACAGTCATGTTGCTGGTAAAAGATGGTAACAGGTAGGTTTAAGTAGCTGTAGCAGTCAGTTGGTTTCCCAGTATAGTGTGGTGGTGATGTGGCCATTGCAAAGCTTCACAGTGGTTACCAGCAAATGATTTTTTATGGGTAGAGTATTCAAGGGTCTATTTGAAGGGGCAGAAATTGTTGAAGTCCTGGTGGAATTTTTCTAGAGATTCCATTCCAAGTGTCCATATGATCTGTAGCTGCCAGCTGGTATACCTGAAGTACATTCATAACATCTTCATCAAATGGACTTCAGACTAACACAGCTAACTGCCTCTCTTTACTTTTCAGATTTTTTTCTCTGCAGAGCAACCATACTTTTGGGGTAAATTGGGCCTTTGAAATTATTCTCCTGATTTTATAGGTAAGAACATATGGTAGGTTTGTGATGGAACCTGTCTGAGACTCCTGCATTTGTTTAGTGAGGAAATGGCATCACTATAGTTAATGTTGCCCCAGGCTTACCTTTTACAAAGGACCAAAATCTGAGCGTGCTAAGTGAATTCAATTGCTTGTTATTCATAGATGTTAGGGTCGGAAGGGACCTCAATAGATCATCGAGTCCGACCCCCTGCATAGGCA